GGCGGTGGTGGTGGGAGCCTCTCCTCCCTCCTCAGCAGTGCTAAGGATGTCTGACTGCAGCTTAGGTCTGCTCCCTGCTGTCAAGTGGACATCCCCCGAGGACTGCTGGGCTGCCAGAGGGATGTCCGACTACCAGCTTGGACCCAATCCCCCAGGGAGCAGGCCTAAGCCAGCAGGTGGACATCCTCCGAGGGGTCCCAGACTTCAAGAGGGCATAGGCAGGGCTGAGGGACCCCACCGAGTGCACAAATTTTTGTGGACTGGGCCTCTAGTAATAATCATAACAGTAATGTAGTGACACAAAAACAGACATAGCCCTAAAATAAACCCTTGTTTATATGGCCAATTAATCTAAGACAAGGAGGGAAGAATATGCAACAGAAAAATGACAGTTTCTTAAGTGGTGTTGGGAAAACTGAACAGATCATGTAGAAAAGATGAAACGGAGCCATTATCTTATACCACATACAAAAATAAACTCAAAATGAATTAAAGACTTAAATGTAAGACCTGAAACCATAAAAGTCCTAGAAGAAAACATAGGCAGTAAACTATTTGACATCAGTCTTAGTAATATCTTTTATGATGTATCTCCTCAGCTAAGGGAAATAAAAACAAAAATAAACATATGGGACTTCATTAAACTAAAAGCTTCTACATAGCAAAGAAAATGATCAACAAAACAAAAGGACAACCTATCAAATGAGAGAATACATTTTCAAATGACATGTCCAATAAGGGATGTTGATATTCAAAATATATTTCCTTTTAAAAACTAAATCTACCATAAGACTCAGCAATACTTGTGGGTATGAAAGTGAAACCACTAATTCAAAAAGACATAGGCACCCCTATGTTCATTGCAGCATTATTTACAATAGCCAAGATGTGCAAGCAACATAGGTGTCCATCGACAGATGAATAGATGAAGAAGTGGCACATATATACAATGCAATATTACTCCACAATAAAAAAGAACACCCCAAACCTGCCATTTGCAACACCATGGTTTGACCCATATGTAACATATTAAGTGAAATAAGTCAGACGGGGAAAAACAAATACCACATTATTTCACTTACACGTGGATTAAAAAACAAACAAACAAATAAAACAAAACAAAAACAGACTCACAGAAACAAAGAACAAAATGATGGTTGCTAGAGGGGTGGAGGGATGGGTGAAGAAAGTGAACGGAAAAAATCAACAATACAGTTCTGAGTATGCAAAACAGAATTTATTCTTGTATTCTTTTTTTTTTAAATATATTTTTATTGATATTCTTGTATTCTTTATTTATTAATAATTATATCATTTTCCATATGAACAGTATAAATCTACTTTTGTCCCCTCTGTATTTCTAAATAGTCTGAAATCTCAATTTTGGTTTACTCTTTAACCCAATAGTTTTATGGTTCTGTTAAGTTTTAAGTCGGAAAAATCTAATCTATATAAAACCTACTTTTGAGAATTTGTTAGGTTTTCTCTATCACCTATTACCTGGTATTTCTATTAATATTCCATTGGCATCTGCATAGCAAATGTATTCTTTGCACTTGTATCTGTAGCTATAAAATCATGCTGTGTTATTCAAATTCTTTAGAGATTTAGTTAACAGCTTTTGCTTTAAACATTTCAATGCTAAATGCTTGGTGCAAAAAGGTTCATGGTCATCAAATCCACTTAATAGATATTAGGTTTTAGCAACATAAACTAATGTTCTTGTCTCACTGAACCATTCCCCAGTCTCCCTGAATTCCATTTTGTCTAGTATTAGGTACCACTCCTTGTTTCTGTCATCAATTCATATATATCTTTGCTTATCCTAATACTTTTGTCATTTGCTTTAAATAGTAAAGCAGGATTTTTATGTTAACACAATCTATAAGCTTTCGTCTTTTAACCAGGGAAGCAATAGGGGATTATAAGTGTAATAATCTATTCAACTCTAAAATTCACTCACATTTTTTAACAGAAAAAATCATTTTGTCCTATTAGTCACAAAACAAAGCAAAATTGGTACGTAGGTAGGTGGCAAAAATATATTGTTGATTCTATGGAAGTACTGTTTATTGTTTTATTTTTATTTTTTGTTTAATTTATTGGGGTGACATCATATATAATAAAGACACAATATGCAAATTGACACACAAGATGGCTGCCACAAGATGATCAGCAGGGGAGGGCAGTTGAGAGGGACCAGGCTTGCAAGGGAGGGAAGTTGGGAGCGAGCAGGCCTGCAGGGGAGGGCAGTTAGGGGTGACCGGCTGGCAGAGGAGGGCAGTTGGGGGGGACCCAGGGCTACAAGGGAGGGCAGTTGGGGGGGACCAGGCCAGCAGGGGAGGGCAGTTAGGGGCAATCAGGCCGGCAGAAGAGTAGTTAGGCGTTGATCAG